TTCACCTGGATGGACTTGGGGAAAAATATAAAGGATTGGAAACTATGCTTCCTCCTTTGTTCTGTCAAATTTTGGGGAATTCTGGCCTATCTAAGATCGTGCCTCCCTAGATTCAAGACATGGCTTTGACTATCAAGGTGAGGCAACTATCTATCCTCTATTACACCATCGGGATGCTGGTGAACAGGGTTCTAGATCCTAACAGATTTGGTGCAACAACTACTAAGTTATGAGCAAAGATGAATGTTGAGGAGTTGTGATAGATTGAGAAGGTTACCAAAATTTCTTAAAAGAAATCACAAAAAAACATAGTTCAACTGGAGGTTACTGGGGTAGCGAGAAAATATGAAGCAAAAGTCCATGTTGATATAGTATGTAGCACTGCAAAAAAATATGGCAATCATGATTCTTCACGCCAAATATTTTTCTCATTCTCAAGTCAAAACATTAGCTTATGTTTGAAGTACAACCATTAGAAACTTCATAGAATGCATCCATTAAAAGATTGCTCTTCATTAAGAAGCAAAATATATGTCAGAAATATGAATGATAGATTCCTACATATATTAAGAAGCAAATTATACGTCATGATAATCACTGACCAACATGAATAGGGTGTTGTTGCGTGGTTGTTAGGCATGAACCTATCTACACATAAGTCAAGTCTAATGTTGTGTAGTTCAGCTACAAAGTCAGGATAACTATGATGGAAGTGTTTCCAGGCTTGATCAATCGATGGATGAGCGAGAGTATTAACATCAATAAAATTTGTAATGTGTCATGTTATGTAAGGAGTTATTCACATAGAAGTGAATAGTCGCTGAAGTAGTGGAACGAGGAGAAAGTAAAATAAACATTTGTATGACATATTTTTCTGATTTTTACTCTTTATCCCTCTTTGTTTGAATGTATCAGCATCACAAAATTTGCATTTTATCTCCATTGCATCACCTTTGTAATATAACATGCAATCATTAACACATCTATCTATCTTTTCAAATAGTAATCCTAACTTTGACACTAACTTTTTGGTTCTGTAAAAGTCTTTTGAAAGTAAATTCTCTATAGGGTTTGTCTCCTTTAATAATTCTACTACCTGATTGAAGCATTCACTGGGCATGTTAAAATTAAATTTGATACTCAACATTCTCACTGTGACTGATAACTCTGTACGTGTGTTGCATCTTACCCATAAAAGTTATTGTGAATCATTTAATAAATCATAGAATTTTTGTGCTTCATTATTCAATTCTTGATCATCATCAGGTATACTACCAAAAACATGAGTTCTGCTGGCATCAACTATCATTTCCGTATATATGTCAAAATCATCTTCCGTTGGAGGGACATAACTTGGTGAAGAGCCAACATGATCGTACTGAATATATCTTTCAAACTCACCATATGAAGTCAAGTACTAATAATTGGGGTTAAATCATTTACGTTGTAGATCCAACTTCAGTTCGTCATGCTTCAGGTACGCTTGATTCTTATGCTTCACACAAGGGCATCAGAACTTGTCTTTTGAAAGGTAAATGGGTAGCTGCGATGCCACCTGCACAAATTTCTCAATACTATTCAAGAACTCGTCAGTGAGTTATTTTCTTCCTAGATACAATCTGTTATAAATCCTCGATCTCAAGTTTTGAATATCCATCTGCAGCATAAATGCAGCTTTATAAATTTAGATATTAGTCGTATAAACCACACAAATTCATGTATTATATACATTCAACCCTACTAAGTAGAGTTTGGCTCCATGAATCGTTTTTCTCTGTTACGTTCTATTGAGTTTCAAATCCTTAATTTAATTCTAACAAATTAAGATCATTTTTTATGCAACATGACCAGGTCTTTATAGAGCACCGCAATACTTACCCCATCTTATAAAGTTTTCCTTCAAATCTAATCAATATTTTTTTCTTTCACACATCAAGTCTAAACTTTACATTTCATTAAAAAAACCACACAATTCCTATGCATTACATAACTAACACAAACTTTTTTTTTCACATTAAAATCACCCAATTTCTATGCATTACATATCTAACACCTAAACTTCACATTTCACATAAAAAAATAAATAGATCCTATGTATCACATATCTAACGTTGGAATTTCAATTTTTACGTATGTATAGAAGAATATTTTGAAAATCACATGAAAGGGAAACGCGATAGGAAAAAAAAATCTAGGAGAAGAGGATTTCACACCTACACTGTGAAATCATCGGTGGAAGTTGGACGGATATGTCAGAACCGGGTGTTGGAGAGGGAAAAGCGCCGGCGGGGTCGAAGTGTGAAGGAAGGAGAGAATCAAGCAAATAAGGAATTCAACTCGGTGGGGAAGAGTATTAGGGCGTTTGTATGGCCTGGCTAATAAGTAAACTTAATAGCGTAAGAAGATTCGGATGCTAGGCGACTCTAATTACACCTAAACCTCACAGCGCCAAGTTTTTTCTAGGCGTAAATACAATGGTAATTTTGCATCCCATAATTTACAAGTTTCTTGTAGTGCATTGATGTGTAATTTTGAAGTTGTTGAGTCAAATTTTGAAGCAAAAATATATAATTTTCTAGGCATTTACATACATACTACATTATTCTTATATATTTATATATCTAACACTAAAATTTTGATGTTTTACAGATATACCACTCAAATAATTAACATCAAATTAAAATAGTATTATTGCTAACTTCTTAAAACCGAAAAACACATTTTCATGCTTGGGTTTTTAATACTAGTGATATAAATGTAAATATCAAACCTAAGGTATTACTTATGTAAATACATAAAATTGTGTGACATCTATGTAAAATTCCTTTAATTTCTTAAGTGTTAAAGATGTAAACTTGCATGCACGATGAAACAAAAGCATGAACAACGCCATCCTCATTCTTCTATAGTGCTTTCATAACATCCTCATGCATGCCAACCCAAAATACCAAAAATGATTTTAAAAAATCATTAATTTTTATATATAATAATTTATTAATTAATAGTAAATATAATACTATTCAAAATATGGAAAATCGAAATTTTATTTATTAATTATTTTCAAATTATTTTCTTTTTTTTTTACTTTCTTAAATACTTGACTAATTTATTTCTCATAAGTAAGTCCATTACTTCAATATTTTTTTAATAAATAATTAATTAACAGCCTAAATTGAAAAATATATTCAAACCTTTACTTTGAATTAGAATTCCCTTAATATTCTAGTATCATCAATATTGAGAGAATGACCCCTTGCACTTTTCCAGCTCTTTTCAAACATTGGTATTCTATTGTTCAAGATTTATCACCTAAATGGATAGAAAAATTATTCTGTGCGGACACTGCATGCAGAGATGCATGCTGTGTCTGATCTCCACCGTCGATCACAACTTCGGTTAGATTAAAAAAAAAAATGAAAGTGGGTGCCACCGAAGTCGTGATCGACGGTGGAGATCGGACACCACACAAAATAATTTTTCAAATGGATAGGATGGCTACACTAATGTTAAACATTTCTCTATTAAATGACAACTTCAACACATTTTGGTATATATATATATATATATATATATAATGATTTGTAATTTAGCTTATCTTCAGAGAGCACCCATATAAATCTTGGTCCATTTGAATTATATTTCACAAATTTCGGTTTAAACCTTGTTAAAATATGTTTCTGAATCATGTTCAATTTTTTTTCAAGTAAGTTCAAACATGATTCTAAAAAGGTTCAAGCAAGATTTGAATGATATGGAAACATACTTCAAACAAACTCTATGAAAAAGAAAAAGGCAACATATTACAAATTATACTAATAAAATATCATGATAAAAAACATTATATCTATAAAATGCTTATAAAATGACAACAATAATTATTGCATAAAATCAAATACATTACATGATCAGTACAATCATAATAGCTATATTATATCAGATGAATATGTAACATTGTACAATTGAATTGTCCACTTAATTCTAATACCTAAAACTAGCAAACCTAACATCTTTTTAAATTTGCAGCCTTTACTGATATAAGCACTCAAATTTGTAGTTCTGTGAACTCCATAAAATATGCTCTTAAAGGCATCACAGTTCCAATAATTCCTATCAAGCAATAGCCTCACTAATTTTAATTTGTAATTTTAAATTGAAGTCACTAAATTGAAAATTAAAATAGTAATTAAAATTGTTTTAAGAAAATAAAAAATATGTCAGATAGAATAGACTAATACAAAATCAATATTGTATCGATCATCGACATGTTTAAATACTGATTAATATAAAATCAAATAACAGCGGATGTTTAATTACGTTGAACACTCAACGCAATGTAATTCCAAAAAAGAAATTGACTGTAAAATAGTAAATTTGAAGCTTTTTTGTGCAATCTTAAAATAATATCTGAATCAGAATTCGCTCGTGCTTAAACTTCCCTTAAAATTTACTCAACATTGTCATGCCTTACTTGATCGTCGCTAAAATCAAACATTCTTCGATCCCTGCTTTAACCAATAATAAATTGATTTCGATACTTATTCAAATCATATTCTAGCCTATTCTCGACTATTTTTAAATTATTATTTAATCACTAAGCTTTAAATGTTTGATCATAAATTGAATCCATCAATATTCTATTGTCTAACATCCTTCTAAAATGCACTACCTTAGAATTTGTAAGATTCACCAAAAAAAAAAAATAATAAATAAATAAATAAAAAGCACAAAGAGTACATAATGTGGATTCCCCAAAAAAAAAAATAATAAATAAATAAAAAGCACAAAGAGTACATAATGTAGTAGTTTCAAATTCTTAATATATTTATGACTCAAAATAAATTCTTTGATATTATTTTTTTAAAAAAACAATGAAAATAAATATTTATGTATATTTACATTTAAAAAATTAATTATGGGAGGAAATAATAATAATAATAATAATTTATTTATTTATTTATGTCCATACTCTGCTGTGTCCGTTCAGTCAAATCAAACAAAAGAGGAGCAACTCGCCCCGCCACTCCTGCTCTGGAGTTCAAACTTCGACTAACGGTGGTGGTGTACCCTTAGGTCTCCGGCGAGGAAAATGGACGTCGAGGAATGGCGGAAGGAAAGACTTGCGTTGGTTCTCATCTTCGTTCTTGCTGTCCTCGCCGTTTCGTCACTGCTGATTGCTTTTAGCTACTACTGCTACATTCGCTATAAAGTTTCCATCCACCGCAAATCATTGATGAAAAGTGAGATTGCTCTCTCTTCTTCTTCACACTCGCGTTTTGTATATTTCGTATTTGTTTATTTTTTTTATTTTTTTTCTTACTTTGAGATAATCTGTTCCTGTTTTTCTGGGGAAGGTGAGGATGAAGAGGTGGGCAATGCTGCGGTTTGTAACGGCGGCGAAGAGAGAGCGGTGGTAAGCGAGAAGGGTGTGCAGGTGTTTGCATACAAGCAGCTCTATACGGCTACGGGTGGATTCGGTAAGGCCAATGTCGTCGGTCATGGAAGCTTTGGTTCGGTATTCAGGGGCGTTCTTCCTGACGGGAGGAAGATAGCCGTTAAGCTAATGGATCGCCCCGGAAAGCAGGGCGAAGAAGAGTTCAATATGGAGGTCCCTCCTCTCTCTCTGTCTCTCTTTCTCTCTCTGTATATGTGTGTGTGTGTTCAGTGTATCATTTTTTTTTTTGAGTGGTTCGGAGTTGGGTTTCGATGACAGGTCGAGCTACTAACTCGTCTCCGATCTCATTATTTACTGGGATTGATCGGCTACTGCTCCGATAGTCACCACAGATTGCTTGTTTATGAGTTTATGACTAATGGTGGACTCCAGGAGCACTTATACCCAACTGCAGGTGAGAAAACTTTGTCCCGTTTGGATCATTGCTTCTTGGTCTCATCCATTTTCTGTTAATTAGACAAATCAGGAGTTTTGTAGTATTTGATGGATCATCCTGGCTTTTAGTGATGGGTATCAATCATTTATTTAGTATATGGTTGAGTCTGTTTTATTGGATTATAGTCCAGCAGGCATGTTTGCTTATTTGAGCTTTAAGAGCTAAAAAATGTTGTGTTCTTTCTCGTTGAGCTGCATCTGCTCACAACATTTGTGGGCATTGCAAGATGGCTCCTTAGTAAGTGCTGCTTGTATTTCGATAACTTTCTTCATATTCTACTAATGTTGCTAATATGCCAGCATAGAGATTATATGTAAAACATTATAAATATCTGAAGTTGATTTGGCTTCTTTTTGAATGTTATGTATGTATGGCTTTCAATATATCTTTCAACTCTTGATTTTTTGGTCATTAATTTTAAATTTTGAAATTGGATATTAAGACGAGGTCTTAGGTTTTAGGTGTGTGCAAATACATATACATATTGTGAATTCTAGCCAAACCTTACATGTAATGTGTCCTATGCTAGCTCAACCATCTATTGGGTATCAGCAGTTTTGAATGACTTGTTGTTTTGAAGTAAAATAATTGAGGAATGAGGAAAGGCTTATGGAACCATTTTGTGTAAGATAAGATTCTGGCACTTTGGTTGGAAAATATGCTAGGAAATGTCAAGCTGAATAGTTCTATAAATTTTATTGTGGCTGTTGCCTTCTAGGTTATGTTACAAATGAAAGTTTTGATTTCTAATTATAGTTATTTTCATCAAATTATAATTACTACTTTAAAATGCATTTTCACACCAGTTTGGGTCTGTTTTTTTTTTTTTTAAATTACATTTTGGCACCAACTCATAGCAATTTATTACTATTTGTGATGACCAATTCTTTCTCTAAGATTCTTTCATAGTAATCTGCAACTTATTCTTACTCTTTTTAGCCCTTTTTCATGTGTAACATTTATGTTATGATATCATTATTGCATAATATATATCTTGTTTAGGGTTTTAATAGCATGTTTCTTGAACATCTCCAGAAGGTTGAAGAAACTGAACTTTCCCAACCATAGTAGAAGGGGCCAATGACTATTGGAGCCACAAATCACATAAATTTCCTGATTACAATTAAAATCTTGGCTGTAATATTTTTTGTTGGGGAGGATGTTCAAATGGGAAGCAAATTTGGTGAAAATACAGAATTTGTTAAATGTGTATTTAGAACAAATGTTAAGACCATTCTTTGAAGATTAATAACTCGGTATTTTTGCATAAACGTATTTTAATCTATTCCATTTGTGCACTAAATCGACCGCTAACCTTTCGGTTTTTTTTTTTTTTTTTTTTATTTGTTCAGATGGTAATTATGATTGTTTTGGCAAGTTTTCTAATCATGCTGATCTTTTTTTGAAACGTATCGACATGCTACCTTCCTTGTTGGATCATCCAACCTTTAGATTTGTAAATCTTTTTTATAATGAAGATTTTTATGGAAGCCTTCAACCTTCTATTCCATGAACTTATCAATATATTGATAGGACTTATGAGTGGTGTGAAAGGTAAAAATAAATTTTTAGTGTCCTGTATATTTCAGCTAATTTAGATTTGGTCTCTTCAGGTTCCTATGGTGGTGTTTCAATGTTAGACTGGGAAACACGAATGAGAATAGCGCTTGAAGCTGCAAGAGGACTGGAATATCTTCACGAGCATGTTAGGCCGCCTGTAATTCATCGAGATTTCAAGAGTAGTAACATCCTCTTGGATAAGAATTTTTGTGCCAAAGTTTCTGACTTTGGTTTAGCCAAGTTTGGATCTGAAAAAGCTGGAGGTCATGTTTCTACACGAGTTTTAGGGACCCAAGGATATGTTGCACCGGAGTAATATATGATAACTTATATTCTTCCTGTTGAAAATCTAACTTTTTCTTGTAATTTTTTTTTTTTAACGTCAAATGTGTTCTGAATAATTGTTGTTCTAGATATGCATTAACTGGACATTTGACAACAAAATCAGATGTGTATAGCTATGGAGTTGTGCTCTTGGAGCTGCTTACAGGCAGGATTCCTGTCGATATGAACAGGCCTCCTGGTGAAGGCGTCTTGGTATCTTGGGTGTGTATCCCCTTAGCCTCTCATCTCCATGATCTCTTTTTTTTTTTTGGAAGATTTACATATATACCACTTCAATTCCTATGTATTTATATATCTAACCCCTAAACTTGAATTTTTGCATATATGCCACCTATTACCTTTGCATTGAAAGGTGTATGTAACTTTTTACAAGTTAAAATAGTGGTATTTTTGATGTGATATTTGGGTGGTGTTAATGTAAGCATTAAAGTTTAGTTGTTAGATATGTAAATACATAGAAATTGGCTGGTATATACGTAAGTGCCCCTATACGTAAATGCCCCTCATTTTTGGGATAATTTATTTCATAGTTTTTTTTTTCAACCTTAGGGATAAGTTTTAGCCAGCTGACTAGAATATACATATATGTATATTCAATGTTGATGGATGGTCCCTTTAATAAGAGCTCTAAATGTGTAAAAATGGTTAATTTTTTTATGTTAATTTTCTGGTTCTTGGCAAATATGGTTTGGTTCAAGTTGTTGTTGTTGTTTTTTTTTGTTTTTTTTTTTTTTTTTGGTAACTATGTAAGCATATACAAATCAAGAAATATCTAGGAAGGTGGGTTTGGCCATTTACTAAAGTATGTCTTGCTTCTTTCATTTGCTTAAATAGAAAATAGCCAAACCCCCCTTCAAGTTTGTCTTGCTTCTTGCATTTGCTTAAATAGAAAATAGCCAAACCCCCCTTCCTAAATAAGCTTCTCAAGTTGTTTGAGTATTAGTAATACAGTTTGCCCACATGGTAGGATGTCTTTCTTCTTGCATTTGCTCAAGTATCAGTTCATAGAATAAAAACTAAAATGAATATTTATGCTATTGTCTATGCTGTATCATTTTTGCAATGCTCTGTGTTTATTATACTGATTTTAAGAATTAGTAAACTATATGTACAATCTTATGGAATGATTTTTACTTTCAATGCGAACTGTTTAAGCATTTTTTGGCTGTAAACCATTATTTCTCATAACTGGTCACATAATTATCCGAGTTATATGGTTTTCCTATTTGACTTTTAATTCACTTAAATAAGAATAATAGTCTCATAATTTGAAGTTAAAATATCTCTAGTATATTTTTCCCCATCTATTTAATAACAATATGAGCATTAGAACTATAATCTCTCCAAAAAATTCTGAACTTAATAAAGTACGTTCTTTTGCCAATCCATTATTTAAACCATCATTCTCAGAAAACTCATTATAATTCTGGAAACAAGATGAACCAGTAGCAATAATCGAACCAATTAATCATTCTCTTATTATAAGAGTAAGACCCATGAAATGTACAACTAAAGATAAAAAAGAATTTCAAATTCAAATCAAAGACTTATTAGATACCAAGCTAATCGAACCTAGTAACAACCCACATAGTAGTCCGACTTTTCTTGTATGCAATCATGCTGAACAAATAAGAGGAAAATCAAGATTGGTAATTAATTACAAAAAAACTAAATGATAATACCAAATTTGATGGATACTTTCTACCTAATAAAGAAATACTAATTAACAATATCAAAAATGCAAAATGGTTTTCTAAATTAGACTGTAAATCTTGATTATGACAAATAAAATGACATCCTAATAGTAGAGAATTTACTGCATTTAGTACACTCCAAGGACACTATCAATGGAATGTAATGTTATTTGGATTAAAAAATGCCCCATATATATTTCAACGAAGAATGGATACTATTTTTAATGAATTATCACATTTTTGTCTTATTTATGTAGATGATACTTTAATATTTAGTTGTAGTATTACTGAACATATAAAATATCTAACTTTACGAGCAAAAAATGCACAAGAGCATAGGATTGCATTAAGTAAAAGAAAAACATTCTTCCTAACTAATACTATTGAGTTCCTAGGACTTATCATAGACAAATGATCTATTAAATTACAAGAACATATCCTAACAAAAATTGATAATTTCAAACAAATTAATAATCAGAAAGAACTATAACATTTTCTAGGCTGCATTAATTATGCTGAAACATGTGTTAAAAATCTAGCTGAACTAAGAGCACCATTACAGAAAAAGTTAAAGAAAAACATGTCATGACATTGGAATGAGAATGATGAAAAATCTTTAAACCAAATTAAATAAATATGTAAAATTTGCCAAAATTACATCTACCTATACCAGGAGATTATTTAATAAGCAACTGATAGCTCGGAAATTGCATGGGGTGCAATCCTAAAAGCTAGAAGAAATAACATTGAACTCTTATGTCGATACACACCCTTAGAACATAGAACAGAATTATCATATTAATGAAAAAAAATTATTAGCTATAAGAAAGCAATTAAAAATTTCAGTTAGAACAAAATTATCATATTAATGAAAAAGAATTATTAGCTATAAGAAAGCAATTAAAAATTTCAAAATATTCCTAAATGAAACATTTTTAATAAAAACAGATAACAAAACCGCAATCTCATTTATAAAAGGTAAAATTGTACTCTTTGCCAAATAAAAGATTAATCAAATGACAAAGTTGGTTTTCTGCATATATGTAAAAGACAAACCTGATTTGCATAGATTATTAGTTACTGGTTATCAGTTTTGGCAAAGTGGGTTTTTCACAAAAATATTATTGTCTTTTACATTTATTAGAAAACCTTACCTTTATCAAATATGTAAAAGACAATTATTATATGCTTCTTCACAAAAATATTGGGCTTTGCCTTTTTTATGCTTTCTAATCAAGATTACTGCATATATTAAGCATATAAATTGCAAATGAAGTTATGAAACATGTCTACCTACTACATGATTGAACACTTTATGTAGAAATAAAGTAGAGTTGTATTTCATCTGATTTGCATAGGAATAAGAAGAAATGATATCAAAACACAGATTTACAATCTTGATTCTATGAAATTTATGGATCTTCCATGTATTGCCTTGCCCTAGTCGGTCTTCTCACGTCGAAACTAGATTCAATTTTGTCTCTCCATGCCATTGCTGAAGGTGTGAAGTGGACCCGTTGTTCTTTCTCATTCTCAAGATCACAATGAAGGCAAAAACTGAGAAACCCTCCTCGTCCTTCTTGATTTCTTCCACACAAAGGTAAGTCCCTTGATTGCTCTTTTGCCTCTAATCGCTTTTGATTTCTTACGCATGAGCAGATTGTGCGCTCTTATGTTTCAGCCTGAAAAAGGAAAACCAAGGCCATGCAAAGAGCTACAGAAGAGGAATGGACAAGATTAGCTACACTTAAGACAAGCCAATATGAATATAGCAATCACACTAATCAAGTCTAATACTTAATTTACAAATGATTAATAATCTCCACCTTGAATCAAATATTAGACAAGAAAAACTCCACCCTTTCTCTCAACCTCTCCTTAACCAAGAGGTCTATCTACGTGAAGCAGAGCCAACCAATGTGGGAATTTGGTTCCAAACACTAGCTTCGTAAGGATATCAGTTGAATTCTCATATTTATGCACTTTCTGAAGATAAACAGCTCCTTGAACAACATTTTGATGAAATGCAACCTGTTGCCAATGTGTTTTGCTCTTTCATGAAACATCTGATTTTTCATCATTTTAATTGCACTGTGCTATCACATCATATTATTGATTTTATGTCTTTGTTTTCAAGCTCCTTAAGAAAACCTTCCATCCAGATGCCTTCTTTTATTTGCTCAGTAACAACCATGCATTCTGGTTTTGCTTTTGATAAAGCCATAACTTTTTGAATTTTTGCTGTTCAACTGATTTTGTTTTCATGGACTATAAATAAATATCCAGTCAAAGATTTATGTTTGTCCAAATCTCCTACATAATCAAAATCCAAAATTTGAAATTTTCTGTGTCCCAATTTTTCTTTCAACAAGTTAGACCAACATCAACTAACCCTCAGATATGTAAAAACTAAACTCACTTAACAGTTCTCCAGTGTTCTCTCTCGTATTTAGTCATGTATCTACATAAACATATTCATTGCATAAGCTATATCTCGTTTGATATACACCATCGAGTACATGAGATTGCGAGCAGTACTAGCATAGGGAACTGTATCCATGTACTTCTGATCTCTTTCAGTTGGTCGTTATTGAGAGATTGAGAACCTGAATTGTGAACCTGATGGAGACGAACAGACTAGGCAATATTCATTTTAAATTTATTTAGAACTTTCCAATTGTATTTGCACTAAGACAAATGTAATGAGCTTTTCTCTTCATTTCTTACCAAGAATTCTTCTGGCCTGACCCAAATCTTCTATCTCAAATTAGTTATTAATTAAAAGCTTTGTCATCTCTTCCCTACTGTCATTAGTTATGAGCATATAACACTACTGTATAATAACTTTTTGTAATAAGCACACATCATAACCACTCGTTTTGTAAGAATTTTGAATCATAAGTGAATGAAATTTTTTGTACTATTACCGTGAAGATTGCTTGAACCTATATGGAGATTTCTTCATGTGACGCATTATTATCGTAAGCAGATTTGGCGTATCCCTCTGGCCGACTCATGTAGACGGCCTCCTTAATGTTCTTAATGTAGAAAAATTATTTTTACATCCATCTGTTCAAGATCAGATCATATCTAGCTACTGGATATAAAATCACTCTGAGAAAATCACATTGAAATGTATTCATTCATTCTAAGTGAATCCCTTTGCCACTAACTGAGCTATATATCTAGGTTGCTCAACATTTGATGTATTATCATCTTTTCGTTTATATCCATTTTCAGCCCACTACTTATTTGTTTGGTTGTTTGTTGACAAGTTTTCAACTACAGTTCTTCTCCAGTGATTTCATTTTTTTTCATCCATTTTCCTGTTTCCAGAAATCTTTATCATCACTATTCATTTTAGAAATTAAAGTTCCATACTACATTAAGAAAAATTATATGTACCCTTGCATTGCTAAACAACTTGCTAATTTTCTTTCAAATTTTAAGCACAATTATACTTCTGATTTTCCCTTCTTTATCCTTATTTCTGCTGAATTTTGTTTTCAGGCTCTCCCCAGACTTACTGACAGGGAGAAAGTAGTGCTAATCTTGGATCCGGCGCTGGAGGGCCAATATTCAATGAAAGATGCCATACAAGTTGCAGCCATCGCAGCAATGTGCGTACAACCTGAAGCTGATTACAGGCCTCTAATGGCGGATGTTGTGCAGTCATTAGTCCCACTGGTGAAGCACACTAAGACTGCTACTAGGACCGGAAGCTCTTCTGCCGGCCAAACACCCAAACCAGCTGGAACTCCTGAAATTGTTAAATGATAACACTATTCACTAATTATATACATATAAGAGAGAGAGAGAGAGAGACTCTGCTGACCGTGATATTTATTTATTTATTTATTTTCTATTTATGGGCTTAATATATATGTTATGGGCTTTAGATGTTGAGAAGTAAAATGTGAAGCTCAATTAAATGTCCAACTAATTATTTATTTGCTCATTTTGTTTTATTACTAATTTTTTGAAATAAATTAATTTATTTTAAAAATACTTAAAATAATTTTTTAATTATTTTGCTTGTTTTTAAAAATCACCTGTACCTGTAGCTGCTACCATCGGCTGGTGACTGCAGTTGCTGCCATCACTGACCTCAATTGTTGGCTATCATTGCTGCTACCATTGTGGACAACCTTGGATGGCTGAAGCCAATGTCCGGATATTATAAATAATGACAATACCATGATGTTGGATTGTGATTTTAGGGACAATAATACTCCTCTAAAACTTAAACAAGGCTTGTAAGGCGTCCAAGATGTTAGTTCTGTTAAGGAATAGCTCAACCGCTAGTTGAGAATATTAAGAACAAAAGGAAATCTAGTTGATTTGATGAGAATTGTTTATATTTGTAATCACATTGAGATAATTTTATTTTCTCAGATTAAATTTAGTTTTAAATGTTTAGGGAAATTTAAATACATGCCACAATTCTTGTATATTTACATATCAGACTCCTGAAGTTTGATATTTACACTGTTTTAATACTTTAATGTCATAAACCTATACAAGAAAATGTTTGTTTCACTTCTAAAAATTTATTAATGGTGGCATTTTTGTGTGATATCAAACATTTGAGTGTTATGCATGTAAATATGAAAGTTTAGGTATTAGATATGTAAATTAATAAAAATTTGGTATGTAAATAGCTCAACCACCCCCATCATCAGCGATCGAGCAATTACCTTACGTGCTTTCTCATGGAATGGAAGTGTTGTCGCTAGTCGAATACAATCATCATAGCTAGAGTTATCGCTTCAACTTCTTTTGACATGGAGATTCTTACCGACTCGTAAGATGTTAACAGTGAAGGAGCGTTGCTCATCCTCGTTCTGTTATAAGAAGTTTGAACCAACGCAGCACTCCAACAAAAAGAGATAAAGAGATGATACTACAACAGTAATAAATGAGAAATGACATTCTCATCGAGCGACCTAATTCTAAGGAAATACTTGATACTATAGTCATCAAGCTCGATCAGACTTGGACTAGCCCCTTCATCATCGAGCAACAAGTAGCCCCGGAAGCTTACAAGCTAAAATCATACACTTGAAAAAAGATTCATCGGATGTTGGTAGAGATGATCTTAAGAAAAAAACTCTTTAAAAGAAACTACTCTGTACCTTTGTTCAAGAAAAATAATCTTACTTTACTTCATATAACCTTTTGTTTTATTGCAAAAAAAAAAAAGTGGTATTATAGCCCCAGACTTGAAACAATGCTCGAGAAACCAGAAGATCAACGGACCTCATATTAAAGTGAAACTTGGGTAATTAGATTACTCAAAAAAGATGACCAAAAGAAGTGTTTCAAAGCTCGATCACACTAAAAGAAAGACGACCCCATAAAACATTGTGATGTTTGGTGGCAATAAAGAAAGACAACTATACGAAGTGTTTTGAAGCTCGGTCGCGTAGCTTGAGACTTAAAATTTTTCCTAGGTATTGAGTCAATTTTCAGAAGGGGGTTACCCTTCCAACAAAGACAAAGCTCCATGAAGGGAATTAAAGAAATTAGCCTGAAAACTATAATTGGCTACTCCCATAAGAGTTGTAGATAACTAAACAAAATTTTTGGGTCTGGACAAGTAAAGCTTAGGTCTACATAAGAATTAACACCCAATCGACTCACAAAAATCCCAAATAGCCAATGGCAACAACACAATATCTGATTAGTCTGTTGGAACAAAATTAACTTTCAATCATCGACTCAAGACGAGTGAATGTCGTAAGGAAATAAAAGAACGATAAACATGATCACTTCAACCAGATATAAAACAACCAAAAGTTCAAGTTTCATTCATGTAGTCCTTTTTTACAAAACTATCATGTATATTATCATGATTACATGTACTAAGAAAGAAAAGAAATTGAATCCAAGGATTTTTAGTCCAAGTGTTTGATGAACCTCAGTCTGCCACATTATCACCCTCAAATTCATTTCAATGTTCTAATGTTGAGTGGGCATCAAAAAGCTTTTAAATTCATTAATATGAGAATGTTTGGGGGTCAACATCCCCCCTCTTACAAATTCATTTACTGTTATTTTTCAACCCTCCTCCAAATATTCAACCTACATATTAAGGAGTTCTTTAGCGTTTATCATAGAGGATATCCACTTGATTTTGTTAGTATTTTCCTCCTGAAGTGCATATATCTACTCAAATGTTATCTCCAGCTCTACTCTCACATCCTTCAACTCAGCCTCTACCTAGGCCGCCCTGATTTTCACCAACTCTGCATGCTCCCAGTATCCTCGAGCTTTCACCTTAGACTGTTCATCTCTTTCGTGAGGTCAAATGATGGGTCAAAGCATAGCTGAGAAGTTGGAAGCGGTTGATCAATTACCATAATTCAGCTGATGGAGATTATACAGATGTTTCTCTAGACCAGTTGATCAAAAGATATTCATGATGGTGGAGGCATACATGGCTTACTCAGAGTTCAATGGGAACCAATCTCTCTCCTAGTTTATCAGACCATGGCTAGAATTTGAATTGATGTAGACTTTTGGTTGCTTCTTCTGCAATGGGATCCAGTGGTCCTGTCCTGTCATCTTATTTCTTAGAAGCATGGGAATGAACGGATTAGAATTTGAAGCTACAACCTTGACTTTTCGCCTGCACTCTGCTTCCCCAGCTAGCTCAGGGCTCCCATCCAGATTTTTTTCTGAAAATTTCTGCTTAATTAGTTCACTTGGCACCAAGGGAGAATAAATAGATTTTTGGCTTGCCTCACCACTCTCTGATAGATGAATGAAACCCGAAGTCGATGGTCAGAAAGCCTCCTATGTGGAAGGTTACTTGTTACACCTAAAATATATAGTATTTTTAGACATATTTTTATACATATTTTGGAGATATTGCGCTTTAATGAAAGATATTTTTGTGTTTTTCTTTCAGGTACAAGTAAAAAAGGTGAAAAATGCTAAAATGAGTGAAAAGTGATCAAAGATGCATGATGTCAATTTTTTTGTGATTTAATTGAAAAAGGGATTGAAGTCGTTATGGATGATATTTCAGTGTTTGAAACTTCATTTGACTCATGTTTAGAACATTTATTTAATGTTATTAAGCGCTATGAAGAAACAAATTTAGTCCCTAATTGGGAAAAATATCAGTTTATGATAGTAGGAGGAATTATATTAAGACATCAAATATCGGAAAATGGTGTGAAAGTAGATCCTGCTAAAATTCAAGTGATCGCTAATTTACCCTATCCAAAAAATATAAGGGAAATTAAGAGTTTTTTATGACATGTTGGATTCTACAGACGATATATTAAAAACTTTTCAAAATTTGCTAAGCCTTTATGCCATTTTTTGCTAAGCCTTCAAAATTTGCTAAGCCTTTATGCCATTTATTGGAGAAAGATGTAATTTTCAATTTTGATGAAAAGTGCCTAAAATTTTTTTATTTATTAAAAGAAAAATTAGACACTACACCAATTATAATTTCACCATATCGGGGAAAACCTTTTGAACTGATGTGTGAAGCTAGTGATTATGCTATTTGAGTTATTTTAGGACAAAGATATGATAAAATTTTCAAAGTAATTTAATATGCTAGTAAAACTCTTAATGAAAGCCAAATTAATTATACAACAATTGAAAAAGAGTTATTAGAAATAGTATATGCCTTTGATAAATTTAGATCATATTTAACTGGAACTCATTGCGTAGTGCATACGGATCATTTTGTTATTAAGTACTTAATGAAGAAGAAGGATGTTAAACCTAGACTTATAAGATTGATTCTTCTTTTGAAAGAGTTTGATTTTATAATAGTAGATCAGAAGAGAATTGAAAATCAAATTGCTGATCATTTGTCCAGACTTGAGTTAGAAAAACCACTTTGTTTTGAAAAAGAAAATAATGAACATTTTCCAAAAAAAAATTTGTTCAATATCTTTGTCCTAAATAGATTTTGACAGTGAGTGCCGTGTTCCGTAGAATGCCGACATTATGAACTTTCTTGTTAGTGATATTATACCATATGGAATGACATGCCAACAGAAGAGAAAATTTATTTCTGAAGCTAAGACTAATTTTTGGGATGACCCATTTTTATATAAATAAGGAAAGGATATGATTATTCGAAGATGTGTACCTTTAGAGAAACTTATGAAATTATCCAAAAATATCATAATTTTGATTTTGGGGGACATTTTGGTGTTGATAAAACATCATACAAAATTTTACAATCTGGATTCTATTGGCCTACTATCTTTAGAGATGTTAGTGCTTATATCAAAACTTGTGATAAATGTCAATGAGTAGGCAATATTTCTAGAAAAAATGAGATGCCCCTCAATTATATGCTAGAAGTTGAAATATTTGATGTTTGGGATTGGATTTCATGGACCATTTCTACCATCATTCAAAAATTTATATATATTGTTAGCAGTGAACTATGTATCCAAATGGATAGAAGTCGATTATTTACCTCGATATGATGCTCAAAGTGTTGCAACATTTTTGAAAACAGACATATTTTGTAGATTTGGAATGTCGAGAGTGATCATAACTGATAGGAAAAATCATTTCAGAAATGTCATAATGGAGAAATTATAAAATAAATATCATATAAATCATAGAATTGCTACTGCTTACCATCCTCAAACAAGTGGTTTGGCTGAATTGTCAAATCCGAAAATTATAAGAATTATGGAAAAATCTGTGAATCCAAAAAAAATGAACTTGTCAGCCAAACTTGACTATGTTTTGTGGGCTTATAGGACTGCATACAGAACTCCTATAGGAATGTCCCCATATAGGTTAATATTTAGGAAAGTTTGTCATTTACCAGTTGAACTTGAGCATA